TCTCAGGTGATCCTCCCACCTCAGCCTCCCAAAGTGCTGGGATTATTATCGGCATAAGCCACTGTACCTGACCATTGATGTATTTCCTAATCTTTACCTAGTTTAAAAACTTTAATATTTTGAGGGAGGTCTATAAATATCAGTGACAGTTAACTGAATTTGTTTACCTTTTTGAATGGACTTGAAATAGCTATGTTATAAAGCATATTTGAAACATCCCTTTATTGTCCTCTAAATTTATCTTAATATTTTACAATTACAATCTGGAAATTAAATAAACAGTACCTTTCCAATAACTCCACTTGTCTAGAAAAGGTTAGGCTGTGTCCAGTGAAGACAAATGTTAAAAGAGGTGGATTTATATAGAGACTTTTGTTACTCACCCCAAAGAAATTCTTAACACTCTTCAGGCCTGTTGTACATTTTATCAGTGGTATGTAACATTATTTGGATGCTATAGTTGTTGGAAATCTTTTTAAAACTGTGTATCCTTTTGTGTAGAAAAATAAAAATTTTGTGTATAGCCTTAGAGATTTACAGATCCAGGTCATGTAAATCTTTTGTTGACTTTTATCCTATTTTTGGCTAATTTCTTAATCTTTTAGAAACCAAAAATTTTAAATTGGATACGTCGTGTAGTGTGCTTGTCACTACTCAAGTAAAATCACTATGTAGCGAGGCAGACAGACTGACATACTTCATTTTATCCAAAGGACATCACTTCCATAGCAGGGCAGAAAACAAGATGATTATTTCACGGTCATTAATTAAATTTGCAGAGATAGGTGTAATTCAGAGGCTTTTTTTAGGTTGCCAATTTTGAGTTTATATCCCTTAAAAAAAAAATAGCTGCTGCTTTTCTCCCAAGATTGTAATTCTGTAAGCACTAATCACTGACTTTTTAGTTAACTGAACCATCCCAATTCTCAAAACAGAAGAGAAAAGGTGGGAGGAACTTTCAGGCTGCTCACAGAAGGAATATGCTGAAAGGCCAACATGAGAAAGAAGCAGCAGATCGAAAACGCAAGCAAGAGGAACAAATGGAAACTGAGCAGTAAGTATTTTTTTTCCTAATTTTGGGTTCTTTTTAAAGGCTAGCATGGAATTTTTAAACAATAGACTTTCATTTTCCAGACTATATGAAGCCTTTTGAAGAAGTGACTTTTCCCATGTGTTAGAAAAATCTTCAGTATATGATGATGATCTTATTTCAGGCTTCATTCTTTTCTGAGAGGATGAAATTGACTGAGGCAGTCACTGAATTATTTTTAAATTTAAACTGAAAGTGCAGATAGGATTTAATTGATAGTGTCTTTGCAGGAAGTATACACATACTCTGCCATTTACTTGTATAATATACGCATAGGAAGAGTGGTGAGAATATGCTGGTGGAGAAAGAATGCAGGATATACCCTTTATTCATTATACCACCAAGCAAGCCTCACCCTAAAGACCAGCAAAAGTAACAAAAGCACATTTGGAAACCCAGGAAGCCGGTAAAAGTATATCTAAAGGCTGACAGGGTGTATATTATTATATATGTGCAATATAAATCAAATTCAAAGCTGTTTTCTCTTAAATTTTGATACTTAGAGACAGTACTTGCCATGGGGAATTTCTTTCCCCTCATTATATAATTTTATTACTAGAAGGAAAAGTAATAGCAATGATGAACAGACCTTGCGTCTTTATTACATTTGCTTTCCTAGTCTTGTCACTTCTGAGTTCTTTCTCTGACATGCTTTTCTTTCCTTGTGAAGTGTCTTACATTCTGACTAAACTTTGTTTTGTTGTTTAGTGAGGTGATTTTTAAAACATGCTCTAGGTCACTAAGACAAAGTTAATGATGAGCAGTGAAACTATTCTTGAGTAATTTTGTACTTTTTTTCTCTACATAATACATCCGTAAGCCAAAGTCTGTCTTCACAAGTACAGCATTTTATTCTGCTTTCTTAGTTTGGAGGATATACAAGTATTTTTAGCTGCTTGAGGGAGTAATTTAAATAATTTATCTAAAGCGCAGAAATATTACTCCCTCCAATCTGTTAGACTTTAAGCACTTCTGTAAATATTTAAGTTATTCTTTGTCACATCATTTTCTATCTTTTCACTGAAAAGTTGTTGGACTGTTTGTTGCTTTTGACTTGATTGTGCTCCCAAAATTAATAGATAAAATTAGTTGTTACTTAGTATATGTAGCCCAACTCCTCTTTAGCATCTCAAAGTTATCTTTATGTATTTCAGTTCTTTTGAATGTCCTCCAATGTAACTTTCTCAAATTCTAATATTTGTGTTTTCTTTCCTTCTCCTGTTATTACAAAACTTTGTACTTGGACAGTTTTGCTCTGTAAAGCATTTCAGATGCAGCTTGTATGAAATGCATTATGCAAAATAAAGTTTATTGTATTGTATTCCCAGCCAAACAACATGTAATCTACAGTAATAAAAAATATATCTCATTTTGGGCTCAAAGCATTAATCCAGTTACTGAAAAGAGAATACAAGTGGAGCAAACAAGAGATGAAGATCTTGAGACAGACTCATTGGACTGAATTTTCCCCTCCCCCCCTTGATGGAAGAATGTTCCAGATTCTAAATTGAGGACTTCATTATTAATGGCATTACTGTGTTATGATTGTTAACAAATTTCCTGTAAGGTACACACTACATACTAAGGTCGACCATCATTCCTGTTTTTTTTTTTTTTTTTTTAACCAAGCTTAAAATGAAGCTTTGTGTTTGAAAGTAATAACAAGCTCAGATGAAGATGGTGGTTGTACATTATTCATTTAGAAAATATAAAAATTCATTTTGTTTTGAAGCTAGGCATTAAACTGGAATAGCAGTTTTACCCCTGAGAATGGGGCCCTTCCCTTGACATTCCTTTGTTGTTTAATTCTTTAGAATCTTAATTGTTTTTTTAATCCTGAGAGATTAAACAGTAGTAGACTTGTTAAGAAAATGAAACTGTAACCAAAATTTTAAAATAAAGTTTTTTTAAAAAAAAAAACCTGATTTTTAGATATTTTTTGTTCTTGTCTATTTGAATTGGTTCATAATATGGCCTGAACTCTTAAGCCAAGGTACTAGAAATTAAGATTTCAATTTTAAGTGGTTATTTTTGTGATTGACAATAAAATGGTACCTTTTAATTTGTGAATGTTAGTGAATGTTACTGAACATCATTTGATATATTGGCCAAAATTTTTAAAAGTATGGTATCTTAAGTCTATTTAACTTTGAAGCTAACTACAAAACTCCTCAATTATCTATTCTTTGGAGACGTGGGCAACAATTAAATTGGTTTATTTTAACATGCTGCTTTTAAAAATAATTGATGTAGAAGTCGTTAAATATTTATAGGTATTCTCTTCCCATTGTGGACTATTTGTCCAGTGACCCTGAAATTGGTCATTTGCCAACACACTATTATGATGTCACTGAAAAGCTAGATATGATTTAATTTAGCATGTTGATTTGAATTTTGTTTGCATTTATATTATGGAATTGCACAGTTCTAAGAACTACAGTCAGTTCCTTCGCAGTCTAGGCTATTGATTTATTTTAAGGAAAACATTTTTAGCTTTTACATAGGGATTGTGGGCATTCAGTAATCAGTCACAAAGTTCCAATGTTTTGAAATATTTGTGTTAACATTTGATAGGCAGAATAAAGATGAAGGAAAGAAGCCAGAAGTTAAGAAAGTGGAGAAGAAGCGAGGTTAGTTATTTCACTTTCTAAAATGTATAAAATTACACATGGAAAGGAAGTTATATAGACATAACTTTTCGTGTATTGGTTTTGGAATCATTTTATACTCTTATATCCGACAAATATACTTTTGCAGGTCCCTAACGGGCTTTATAAATTGCATTGTAATATAAGCATAATCAGATAGACTTGCTTAAGTTGTCTTTATGTTTAATACTCATTAATTATTTGATGGTGTCAAATTTCAGTACACTTGCTGAAAGCTGGATGCTTTCTCATTTCAGACAAATCTCTTGGGAAAAGCAGGTGTTTAGGGAATGGAAAGCAGAGGAATTATTGGATGTGGACTATTCATTTTAGAAAAAAACACAGCCAGGTGGTGGTTTTTTGCATCTACACTGCATGTTGTTTTTCTCACCCAGACACAAAATGGCAATAACGACTTATTCTTAGTTAAGCTATTGTGTGTATCTGTGAGATTACTAAGAACTTTTTTAAGTCCACTGATTCATTATACTTAGCCTGTATACAGAAATACTGATTTTAGAAAAACTGTTTACTGTTTTTCACATATTTTAATTTGTAGAAACATCAATGGATTCTCGACTTCAAAGGATACATGCTGAGATTAAAAATTCACTCAAAATTGATAATCTTGTAAGTGTTTAACTTCATTTACAACTACAGAACTGCATTTATAGCTGCATCCTTTATTTTTCTCACATGATCTTATATGTAAACTTAAAAGGGATAATTACTGGTTATTTTGCACTACCTTTTTTTTTTTTAAGTGATCTTTAGAAGCAGATTATAAATGTTATAATTAACAGCTATGAAATTACTGTTTTGTCATGAAGGATGTGAACAGATGCATTGAGGCCTTGGATGAACTTGCTTCACTTCAGGTCACAATGCAACAAGCTCAGAAACACACAGAGATGATTACTACACTGAAAAAAAGTAAGTGATTTCAAGTCATGTAGATTCTTTGAATTTTGTCATTACTTCATTTAAAAATTGTTTAAGTAAAAAATCAATTAGGAAAACAGTGATGAATATATATTGTTTTCTCAGATACGGCGATTCAAAGTTAGTCAGGTTATCATGGAAAAGTCTACAATGTTGTATAACAAGTTTAAGAACATGTTTTTGGTTGGTGAAGGAGATTCCGTGATCACACAAGTGCTGAATAAATCTCTTGCTGAACAAAGACAGCATGAGGAAGCGAATAAAACCAAAGACCAAGGGAAGAAAGGGCCAAACAAAAAGCTAGAAAAGGAACAAACAGGTATGTGATAAAAAGCTGACAATTTTGTACCAGTTTCTGAACCATTTGCCAGGACTGCTTTTAAAAACTGCTTTGATGCATAGTCTCGTTAATACCACAGAAAAAGCATATATAGGCAAAATGGTGAAAATGTGATGGGCTTATTAAGAAGGACTAAAGCAATGTGCATTCAAAACAAAAAAATCATGTCAGTTGATATCAAAAAGAGACATCTGAGGCAAAAACCATTGATCATGAGGCAGATGACTCTGGAGAAACATTTTTAAAAAGCCATCCATCACAATGCCTCCTCATCCCTAGAGGACCCACTTCCTAGTTGCTCAGCTGCTTCTGATGTTTTCTTCTCACCTAAAAAATAAAATAGCGTATAGTAGCCTTTTAAATTAAAACGCAGCATCATAGGTGGAGACTAAACCTGCCATTACTTGTTAACAGCTGATACAGGTATTCTAGCGATGCTGCTATGCTGCTGAGTTACCCTGAACAGACTATCTCTTTACTGTATTAATGCCATATCATAATTTTTACTATTAAGTACTTATGTGTGAATAAGTTTAAGAAAATTATTGCTTATTGGTAGCATATAAATTCAGTCAACAATGGTAGTGCCAAGTGACCAAGATTGTCCACATGGGTAGCGAAGATACATCTTTGCTTTCTAATGGTTCTCAATGTACACAGACTTTCATACATAAAATTATTAAAATTGTGTGAAACTACCTTTAGGCTATGTATATAGGTGCAACATGAGTGAATTTCATGTTTAGAGCTGGGTCCCAACCCCAAGATAAACTCACATATATGCAAATATTCCCAAATCCAAAACAATTCTGTACCTTATCTATTAAATGAAAGTCTTATAAAGCACTTAGATGTGTAGCATTTATGTAGAGCACTCAACCTTAGCTTCCGCTCTTTCGCTAAATTAGTATAATTGAATCCAGTTATTTTCATGTGTATTAGGAAAAATTTGTAACGTACACAAATAGAAATAACTTCCCATGTCCCTGTCACTCAGCTTTGGCAGTTACTAGTATATGATCATTGTGCTTTTGTAGCCCATAGCTTTCTCTGTGCCTCTCTTGAAAGTTATTTTATAACAAATTCCAGACATATCATTTCACTCATAAACATTTCAGAATGTATGTATGAAAGACTCTTAAAACAGAATCATAGTACCATTATCAGCTCCTCCAGTGTCATTACTAAATATCTTCATGTCAGCTGCTTAAGGTAGAAGCTGACATTTCAAAAGCAGTTGGATGTTTTTTTTGTCTTTCTGTTGCTTTATTAGGGAATAATGGGTCCCCTTAAAAAATTATTAATACGACTTACAGGAAAGCCCCCTTTATTATGAATAAAAATATCAATTAGGAAATACTCCTTTAACACATTTTGTTCTTAAACACTAATATCTTTTAAAGTTTGATTCACATTGCTTTTTCGAAGTAGTAGAATAAATCAATATGCTAAGAATTGTAACACCCTGTAGTCTTCTTGGTAATAGTAACAACCAGAAAAATCAGATTAATAATCCACTTCCTGTACCCATAGAAAGTTATCCTGCTTTTTATGATACCTTAGCTACCCAAAGATTCTGGTGGTGATCCCCTTTCCCACCTCTTTTTTTGACAAAGCATGAAAACCCAATTCTAACATTCAAGAGAGGGCTGTATTACAATGTAATTTCGGAAAGACATCCAATTATTATTTTGTAAGCTTTAACACAGTTTTTCTATTGGATTCCTTCCCAAGGGTCAAAAACTCTAAATGGAGGATCTGACGCTCAAGATGGTCATCAGCCACAACATAATGGGGAGAGCAATGAAGACAGTAAAGACAACCATGACACCAGCACGAAGAAAAAGTGAGGAATAGGTTTTAATGGGTCTTCTAGTGTTTTTCTCACTCAAGATTTTAATCACAGTTGTGTTCCAGTGTTATTTTAATATAAGCAGTTATCTTTTGATCACTCAATTCTTTACTTCAGTAAGTTGGAAATAAAAAAGGCAGAAGACTAAAAATCTTTTATCTTCAATGACTTTGCCCCTGAATTCAGTGGAATGGAGCAAGCTGGGAACCTAGTTAAAGAAAATATTTGCCCCTGGATGACTTTTACTGAGATACTGTTAGTAATAACTTGCTCACACTTTGTTGAATTGTGAGAGGATAATTGTGAAAAATTAGATGGAGAATCACAGGCTATTTTATAATACCCACCCTAAATAGTTGAAATCTTGGTTTGTTCCATTGTACATTTGAAGGACTTAGAATGAGGCATCCCTTCTAAAATTGACGGAAATCTTGTTGTCTATGTCAACCTTTTTTTTTTTTTTTGGGGAGTTTTGCTCTGTCACCTAGACTGGAGTACAGTGGTGCAATCTCAGCTCACTGCAACCTCCACCTCCTGGTTTCAAGCGATTCTTCTGCCTCAGCCTCCCAAGTAGCTGGGATTACAGGCCTGCGCCACCATGCCCAGTTAATTTTTGTAGTTTTTGAGATGAGGTTTCACCATTTTGGCCAGGCTGGTCTCGAACTCCTGACCTCAAGTGATCTACCCGCCTTGGCCTCCCAAAGTGCTGGGATTGTAGGCATGGGGACTGCACCTGGGCAACCTGTTTTTATTAATGTTTTAAAATATGTTGGTATCACAGATACAAAACATTCTCATGTTCTTTAAGAGAATTTACTTTTAAGCTAGAAATGCTGGAAAGGCTTGGTCCATGCACTTTCCCCGAGTTATTTTGCTTCATGTGCATATTACTTTAGGAAGAAGGTACAACAGGGTAGAATACAGTTTTCAAGAAAAAAAATTATGACTTTTAATAACAAGTCAAGTTTTTTTGGTTTGGTTGGTTTCAGTCTTTTCATGATTTAAAAAATTCCTCATCAGAAGAAAGTCCTAATTCCAGTTGTTGTACCTTTCTTTCCCTTTTCTTCAGGCCATCCAGTGAAGAGAGAGAGACTGAAATATCTCTGAAGGATTCTACACTAGATAACTAGGTTGACATACCTGGAATATAGAGAACACTTAAGAAGTTTGTAATGGTTTCCATTTGAAATAGACTGCTGAAAGTTTTAAATTTTTATAAGCATAGGTTTTGATGTTGAAAACTTGTTTTGTGGGAAAAAATCCTTCTCTTTGTTTAAAAGTAAACATTATTGCTAAGTGTACTTGTGCAGTATTAACAGCTACATTATACAGTAAATGTGAGGTAAAATCCATTGTTAAACTGCTTTTCCGGACATGGTTGTAGCATATTTTCAATTAGTGTGTGTATGTTATTGTGTAATTGATAGTAGAACAAAGTTACATTTTTAAAACTGCTACTTGTATAAACCTTTCCTCCTTTCCCAAATACAGTGGGTTTTGTGCATAGTTTTTACAAACCTTGGATTTACCAGTCTTTTCACTGTTTGTGGGTTTTGTAGAAGTTGAGCATTTTTATGGTAGATAAAATGTTACTTCTATACAAGTACTCACTCCCTTTTTATCAAAAGTTAATTTTAAGCTCAGTCTACCTTGTGCTACATTATCTGGCTTCTTTGGAACAATGTGTGGTCTGTATGGTTTTTTTTGTATGATAACTAGTTAACCAACTGACATTGAACTGATTGAGAATTCTACAAATTATAAAACTTATGTTAATTTTTGAAGGTAATTTAGTTTTGTGGCTGGGCATTCAGGGAAGTCTTAAGACTTCTCTGCAGATAACAGACTGGATATATATAGGAATAAATCTGGCTTTAGGGTTAAATCATTTAAGGTCCTTTTACAGGCAGGCACTAGTAACTAAAACTGGAAACTAAAGTTTATTTTTGAGAAATGGCTCAAGTTTCTATGTTGTTAAAAATTCCTTTAGGAAGTCACTAAATAATCATACTTAATTGGAAGAAAAAAATCCATGATGCTTACACAGTAAATATAAATAAATGCTATATAAGGAAATTTGCCTATTGGAAAGCATGGCTATATTAGAAGTTTTATTTTCATTTCTAGATTCCAAAAATATAAACATCAGTTGTTCCAACATAGTACTTTGAGTCTGTACATTGACATGTATGGACGAAATCAGGGTGAGACCAATGTTACAAAATTTAAGAGTATGTTAACTAAAGGGATAGCATTTCTAAAATATTTTGAGTATTAGGTCATTCGGCATTTTTCAATAAGTAGGCTACTTCTCATGTTTTGAAACTGTATGAATATGGAAAAAATGGCTTAGGAGCAGCATCTGTTTATGACATTGTATGGTTAACCCTCTGGGATAACTGTTGAGTTGAATTTTTGTTTTTAAGAGGTCTTACAGTGGAACTAAGAATCACTGTTTTGAGAGAACTGCATATATACCAGTCATTATCTGTTTGGTCCTTATACAGTTTTAACTTAGATTTATTCTAGTTAACAGCCATAAGTTTCAACATGTAAACTTGTTTTGATTAAAGAATTTTTCTATCAAACTCTTCTAGTAAATTACTTTCTTGCTATTTACAAGACTAAGTGATGGAATGCTGGGTTTGCTGCCAAGGAAATAATTTCTTAGTTAACTGGTCACAGAGGCTGTATTGTTTTGGGAAACAGGGTAACTAAACTACGCTCCAGATGATAAAAATAAAGGAAATGTTATTTATCTTTTGTTCACCCTCCCTTTTTTCCCATGACCCACCAGATCTATAGTTTTACCAAGAAGCCATGGAATATTCAACTTCTAGAAATATAGCATCATTCTCATAATTCATGTCTGCTTGTACGTACAGGCTGACCTTGCTCTAACTAGTTGATGTATATTTACTTCAAGCATTATTGCCTTTTCTTTAATCATAAACCTCAAGAAATTTGTTTTGTCATAGGCTGGTTTACAGATAACTATCATTCTCAGAACTCTTGATAATTATTCCTAGGAATTAAGAACTTTCAGGATCATTGAAATTGTTCATTGGTTCAATTTAGTTGTGCCTGTGGTCAAAACTCCTCAATTCAACATGGTACCAAGAGATGATTTGGAGAGAGCTTCCCTCCCCCACAAAAAAAAAAGTATGTGTGATAGGTGGTTTTAACACCTATTTTGGGCTTGTGTATGTGTGTGCGTTTTGATCAATGGATAAAAGTCATACATCAGCCGAGCACAGTGACTTCACGCCTATAATCCCAACACTTCAGGAGGCCAAGGTGGGTGGTTCATGAGGTCAGGAGTTCAAGACCAGCCTGGCCAAAACCCCATCTCTGTTAAAAGTGCAAAAATTACTTGGCCATGGTGGCATGTGCCTAATCCCAGCTACTTGGGAGGCTGAGGCAGGAGAACTGCTTGAACCTGGGAGGCAGAGGTTGTGCCACTGGACAGCCTGGGTAAAAACCAAGACTCCATCTCAAAAAAAAAAAAAAAAAATCATACATGACTGAGCAGAACTGATTGTTGAAGTTTTCTTAGCTGCTTGGAGAAACTGCAGATACATCCATCTGAATCTGAGAACTTACTGGACTTGGTATGTGAACAATTGGAGAGAACCATACACTTTATAATTACTATATTCAGTGATTTTCAATAATATACTAGATTTTGCTGATACAGCACTGCTGTTTATGTTCCTACTCACATACACTTACCTGGTTACAGATGTCAGGTTAAGATGAAGTCTGCCTCTAATCCTGTATAAAAGCAAGGATTTTTCGTAGGGTGCTGTGAGGGCTTCGCTAACTTTATTTTGTCCCAATGGCCAGAGAAAAGATGCTCTAATGAAAATAGCATACCTGTATTATTAAACTCTTTAGAAACAAAGAAGCTGGTGTAATAGGCAGAAATGTGTTTGTGTTGTGTAATTCTGCAACACAATGTTAGAGATGACTGACCTTTCTCCCAGTAAAATTAAAAAGTCTAATTATCCTTAAACAGGAGTGAGGACTGAAATGTTTGAAGAAAGCTTTTGCTTCTCTCACTATACTGACTTTTGTCCATGTGCGTCCACTATTATATAAAAGTCAAATTCAACCACCAAGGAGGTTGACTGACATGTTCATGACTACATTTTCACATCTGCCTATCTTCATTAGATGTTACATGTAATTTGACAGGCATGTTATATTTGATTGAAGTAAGTATAAAGAATAGCTGTCCTAAATCAGGGTTTCATAGCTCCAGAAATATACAAAGTTAGGGATTTCTTTGGACTTGAACTTGGTGGGATACCTGTATAACTGACAGATAACAACACATGGGCAAACTGTGGGAGTAACCTGGTTGGTTAACTTTTCAGTTTCACCAGGAAACGGTAATAGGTACCTCAGTCTTTGATGAAAAAGTTAGCCCTTATTAAGAACTAGTAGACTAACATTCTCAAATAATAAAACAAGAATCCCAGTAGCAGAAATGTTTTAACTGGCATATTTCTTCTTTGTCCACTAAAATGAATTGACACTACACACAGAATAATGCATTATGGCAATAATTAACGTTCTGGAGTTTGGTGTTTTGACAGTATGAAATGAAAATGAATAAAATGTCCTTGCATATTCATGTAAGACCTATAAGGAATGCAGTATTAAAAAGGAATCAAAACTTTTACCTGTGGAATTTTGGGGTTGGGTAAATATTTATCTTTATGATTTGCTGGCAGTTACCAATATGCTCAATTTAGCACTGTTTTATACAAGAAAGTAAAAATTTAGGTACAACTCAGCCTCTGAGTTCTCTATACTGATCTGTGTATGGACTGAATCAATGAATGAGAGCACTAGACATACCAGAAACAAGTGCTTGTCATCTCCAAGCCATGGACTTAACTGGATATGTGGCATTTAAGTCCATAAAACATACTTCACTGTCAATCTTTTAAACATATAGGCTTATAGGTTTCGTCAGTTTTCCATTTATATGATAAATGTCTGTTCATAGCCATCCAGATAGTCAAATTTAAATACAACCTAGGAGAGAGAAAAATTTATTTTAAATGATGCATTTAAAATCTACAGTATTCCTAAAAGTTTTTTAAACAGTATTAGATTTTCCATCCATAAAGGTTTCCAGAAAGTATTTGAATATAGATAGCTATAAATTTATCTGATGGTCTAGACCTGAGAATAAAAAGTTTCTTTTGCTGGGTGCTATGACTCATGCCTGTAATCCCAGCACTCTGGGAGGCCAAGGTGGGTGGATCACTTAATGTCAGGAGTTCGAGACTATCCTGGGCACATGGTGAAACCCTGTCTCTATAGGAAATAAAAAAATTAGCCCAGCATGGTAGCATGTGCCTGTGGTCTCAGCTACTCGGGAGGCTAAGGTGGGAGGATCACCTGAGCCTAGGGAGCCAAGATCACACCACTGCACTCCAGCTTAGGTGACAAGAGTACCCTATTTCAAAAAAAAAAGTTTAAAATTTTTTTTTTTTTTTTCTCAGAATAAGATGAGAACAACTAGGATTATTAAAGTATGGGGACCAGAAGAATGGAAGACATGGACCAGAAAAACTTTTCTTTTTTGCTTATAGAATATTAGTATCTATCCAGTAGTACCATTACTGAAGAATAAGTGAGCCAGAGCTCGCAATCAATTAACATCTTGATTTTTCCATGTCCTCATAGTCATGTGAAATCTGCTATTGTTTTTTAAATCATGGTATTAAATTGACATATTTTCAACTCATAGCATTCATAAAGCTTTTATCAAGAAATAAAGCTTCAAGTTAATGTTATTTCAGGAGTTATGAGTACAAACTCAAGATCTTTTCACATTAATTATTCACATAGTCTTACTAACACGTCTGTGTACCTAGTTTCCTTCAAAACAAAACCTAACATTACTAAACAGCACACTATAAATTACCCCAAAGCGGCCAGGCACGGTGGCTCATGCCTGTAATCTCAGCACTTTGGGAGGCTGAGGTGGGAGGCTGTCAGGAGTTCAAGACCAGCCTGGCCAATATGGTGAAACCCCATCTCTACTGAAAATACAAAAATCAGCTGGGCATGGTAGCAGGCACCTGTAATCCCAGCTACTTGGGAGGCTAAGGCAGGAGAATTGCTGGAACCCAGGAGGCAGAGGTTGCAGTGAGCCGAGATTGCGCCATTGCACTCCAGCCTGGGTGACGAGCAAGACTTCATCTCAAAATAAATAAATAAGCTCAATGCTATTAATTTTGCCTTACTCGTAAATAATTCATTATTATTATTTTCCCTAATTTCCATTTTGAAAAGATGTTTGAAGGATCTTTACCTTGGAAGCCTCATGGTAGGAGGTGTAGCTCTCATATTCTTCAGAGAATTTTCTGAACACTTCTACTACTTGATGTATCATTAATTCTGTCCTTAGCAAAAAACACTGGACAGAGATGAATAGGGAAGGCATGGATTGAGTCAAAGAATATGTGTGACTGACAAAGGATTTATAGCCAAACTACATAAAGTAATACAACTTAAATAACTCAAAATGGGTGAAAAGCACTGAAAAAATACACTTCGGAATAAATATGAAATTAATATGTTATTAACATTTAAATACAATCATTATAAGAATATCTGTGATTTGGACATTTTTTTGGTAGCTTTAACAGACTGTTCAAAGTGGATCCTGTTCCTCAGTGGCGTTTCTTAGAAATAAGGTAACCATCCAAGGGAACAGTTACTTCATGAGGGGGTACTTCTGTGTGTGTAGCTATTCTTAATTAAAGGTTCCAGGATCAACATAAGGATAAGCAAGGAATTCCCCCAGTTTGTTGCCTTCTGAATCATAGTGGAGCATTCGGAAGCAAACATCACAAAAGAAACATGGGTCCTCTGGTGCAAAACTGTCATTGTTCGTCACCCATCTGTAGTTTTTAAAAAAAGAAGTACATCATTACAATCAAATTTTCCATATCTTAACATGCTTTATGAACTGTAGTAATATGTAAATATAACATTCCCACTATTTTCTTATCAGTCTGTTATTAATGCATAATAATCCTCTAAATAATTTTGTTTACAGACAGAAATACATCACCACCAATACTTTCTCTACAAAGCAAAAGGCCATCGAACTTTAAGAAACATTCCAGAGGCTGGGTGTGGTGGCTCACACCTGTAATCCCAGCACTTTGGGAGGCTGAGGCGGGCAGATCACCTGAGGTCGGGAGTTCAAGACCAGCCTGACCAACATGGAGAAACCCTGTCGCTATTTAAAAAAATACAAAATTAGCCATGTGTAATGGTTCATGCCTGTAATCCCAGCTACTTGGGAGGCTGAAGCAGAAGAATCGCTTGAACTCAGGAGGTGGAGGTTGTGGTGAGCTGAGGTTGCGCCATTGCACTCCAGCCTGGGCAACAAGATCGAAACTCTGTCTCAGAAAAAAAAAACATTGCAGAATGCTGTCTCTTTGTAATATCCTTAAAGGAAGAATATAAATCTATTTTAAAGCATGACACATTTGCCATGACATACCTATCCTCCAAGTATGAATATGGTCATTTTCTTCTAACAGACCATTTTGAAAAACCATAACAAAATTAGATGCTATAGATCTGATATACTTTTGCTTAATTTACCTTCTTAACTGATAAATGAGTCCTGGTTAATTTGAAAACTACAACTCTTTTACCTCTAGAACTCAAGATTATGTTACAATATGAAATATATGCAAAGAACAATATGGGCAACATTATTCGACCAAAATGCTGAATAGCATGAAGATGCTACTATACAGCATGTTTGAATTCTGCATCTCATGAAATGTTTGCTTTTAACATTATTTTCACTTTAATCTGATTAATCAAGTTTCCTACTGATCTTTTAGAAAAGAATATTGCGGGAGGGCAAAACAAACTGAAGATACAGGTTGAGTATCGTTTGTCTGAAATGCTTGGGACCAGAAAGAAGTATTTCAATTTTCTTCAGATGTTTGAATATATTATGCATATACTTACTGGTTGAACATTCCAAAACTGAGAATCTGAAATCCAAAATGCTCCAATGATCATTTGAGTATCATATGTTGGCATTCAAAAACTTTCCGGTTTTAGATTTCTGATTCTTGGATTTGGAATGCTCAACCTGTAATAAATTCTCTTTCCTCTGAGTGGCTTCCAGATGTTATTTTATAGAGATGTTATTGCTATGTTTTCCAGGCTGGTCTCCTGGCCTCAAGCAGTCCTCCCACCTCAGCCTCCAAAAGCAACGATCTTTTTTTTTTGACCCACAGTAAGAAATGCCTAATAATCTAAATATGTAGAATTGCATAAAGTAAAAAATTTTATAAAACTATATTTTAACTTCATATGCTATGGTATTTTTTTAAGTTGAGAAGCTGGGGGATGAAGCTGATTATGTAAACTATGTAGACAAGAGGCAGAAAGAACATGGCTCCCTGAGCATTTTGGCTTAAACAAGGTTTTCTTTCTTTAGACTTCCCAAATCCCTTTATGGTAATGTACACTGTGACCCTCTAAGAGGGAGTTATTGTATAGAGAATTTCTTGAATGCATTCTATCAGAGAATCCGTGCTTTGCTTAACACTAGTACCTTTTATTCATTTAGCTGTATACATTTTAGAAGCCTGAAATTTGGCCTACCCCTGGACTTGTGTACATATAATATTTCCTTACTGTTTAACAATGTTAGTTTTAACTCACTCAACTGTTTTTGATTTTGTGGCACTTCCCTACTAGATAATACTTCATATTTATAAACTAAAGTGCAAAAATTCTTAGATGCAGAATGGAAAATAAATACCAAAAGTCAAAATAAAACTACCATTTCTCAGATTAAAAAAAAATACATTATCACTCACCTAGCTGTATACATTTTACAAACAAAACATTTTCTGGTCCATAGCCAGTGCTTCTTGATAAGGAGGGGATACAGTGTCCTATCCAAGCAGTCATCATGATGCACAAGCCTTTTGTTCATGGGAAAATAAAGATATTACAGTGATAAACAGTAAGTGACAAATTTTTATGCGCTATTAAATAGATCTGCACCTGAGTATTAGGAAAATAGGTATTTTGAATTTTTCCTTTCAAGACATTGCTAGATTACTTTTTATGCTATGTTTGACCAAACTGTGTTCCACAAAATACTTTCTCCAAGAGCATTTTGGATTAAGCAAGGTTTTCTTTCCTTAGACTTCCCAAATTCCTTTAAAAAAATGTGTAAAGTGCCTTTTCTTTGACATTCAAACAGATTATGTTTCTTTTGTTGATTACTGTATCAAGAAGTTACTGTGAGTTTAAGGGTCATGTTTTTATCCTTCAGTCTTGGAATCATGTTGTTTATAGAGATGTTCCATAAGAAATATATGGAAAAGGCCAGGCACAGTGGCTCACGCCTGTAATCCTAGCACCTTGGGAGGCTGAGGCGGGCAGATCACCTAAGGTCAGGAGTTCAAGACCTGCCTGGCCAGCATGGTGAAACCCCGTCCCTACTAAAAATACAAAAATTAGCTGGACACGGTGGTGCGTGCCTGTAATCCCAGTTACTTGGGAGGCCGAGAGATGTGAATTGCTTGAATCTGGGAGGCCGAGGTGGCAGTGAGCCAAGAGTGTGCCACTGTACTCCAGCCTGGGCAACAGAGCAAAACTCTATCTCAGGAAAAAAAAAAAAGAAAAAAAAGAAATGTTCGGAAAATAAGACCATCAGAGAGAATAGGGATTGCCTTCCATCTTATGTTTATTACAAGGATGGCACATTTTCCCACATTTGAATGGAAGAGCAGGCAGAACAGCATATGTAATTTTTTTTTCTTTCTTTTTTTTTTTGAGACAGAGTCTTGCTTTGTCGCCAGGTGCCAGGCTGGAGTGCAGTGGTGGCATGATCTCGGCTCACTGCAACCTCCGCCTCCCGGGTTCAAGCAATTCTCCTGCCTCAACCTCCCGAGTAGCTGGGACTACAGGTATGCACCACCATGCCCAGCTAATTTTTGTATTTTTTTAGTAGAGACGGGGTTTCACCATGTTGGCCAGGATGGTCTCGATCTCTTGACCTCGTGATCTGCCTGCCTTGGCCTCCCAAGGTGCTGGGATTACAGGCGTGAGCCACTGCGCCCAGCCAATTTTTTTTTTTTTTTTTATTTTGAGACAGAGTCTTGCTCTGTTGCCCAGGCTGGAGTGCAGTGGCACAATCTACGCTCACTGCAACTTCTGCTTCCCGGGTTCAAGCGATTCTCGTACCTCACTCTCCCGAGTAGCTGGAACTACAGGCACCCGCCACCACACCCAGCTAATTTTTGTATTTTTAGTAGAGACAGGGTTTCACCATGTTGGCCAGGCTGGTCTTGAACTCCTGACCTCAAGTAATATGCCTGCCTTGGCCTCCCAAAGTGCTGGGATTATAGGCATGACCCACTGTGCCAGCCTGCTTATATAAAATTTTAATGACATCAGAGACATAAATGTACTGTCTATAATTTTAAAGTCATATAAATCCAAGGTTTATATACTCTTTTGACTCTTGCTTCCCCATTCTTCTTCCCTAGGGGCAACTGTTTTCCATTCTTAATTGTTTCTTTAGAATTTAGCTCCTCAATTTCTCCCCATAGAACTACTATAATTTTGGTTAAACAGATATTTAATTTATGAAGAATTAGTGCTACTTCTACCTAAGCCACACAGTTGACTTTTATTGGACAAGATTTTGTTTTCTAGCTATTAATTCTCTCCTGTTTACATTTTAAATGTATCTGTCACGAATTCACTTCCCTATTTTCTGACACAACAGTGAACAACTGGGAGCCTACCAGTTTTATTTTCTTCCCAGATATCCTTCTTGAGTTCTATATGCTTTTGGCTCCAGACCCTGGATCTTTCTCCCTCCTTCCCTCCTTCCCTCCCGCCCTCTCTCCCTTCCTTCTTCCCTCCTTTCCTCCTTCCCCCGGGCTTTTTTTTTTTTTTTTGAGACAAGGTCTTACTCTGTCACCCAGGCTGGAACACAATGGCACGATCACAGCTCACTGCAGCCTTGACACCCTGGTCTCAAGCAATCCTCATGTTTTAGCCTCAGTAGCTGGGATTACAGGCACCATACCACCATGCCCAACTAATTTTTGGTAGAAACAGTTTCACCATGTTGTCCAGGCTGGTCTAGAACTCCTGGACTCCAGCAACGTGCCCACCTTAGTCTCCCAAAGTGCTGGGATTAAAGGCGTGAGCCACTGCGCCTGGCAGGCATCAGTTTCTATTATTGGTATGATAAATTACTAATTAATACCAGTAATTACTGGTCAAACATGGGTATATTGGGTATGTTACTGTTTCCACAAAAAACTTTAAATGGTCTCTCATAAGGAATCAAACCAGCAATGGAGCAGGGTTTATTCGTACATAGCATTCCTTCTTAAACTGAGATTTCCTAAATAAAGAGGAAATGAATCACCTTATTCATGCAATAGAGCTATTAACTGTCCAAAATTTACAATTCATCCCCAAATCTCATTTTAGACTATCTCCTTCCCAATTTAAACCTTTATAAAAAGATTAAGACTTCATATTTGTCAAATATTAGAATTAGTCTTCTTTTCCTCCAATTCCCTTTTATCTCCTTCAAATTTTGGCAGAAAGACAAACCTAAAAATAAAGTTGCAATGTTATATGCAAATAGATAACAACTACCTGAATAATGGCTGTTTAATACAAAATAGAGATGATTTTTAAAGTATTAACACAATTTTTAGCCATCTAATAGTAAAGTATTTCTTCCAGATTTTTCCTAAAGAGTTGGTCACTGCATGGAAAGAAAACACTATTTTTGCTGCTCCCAGGCCAAGCTGCAACAATCATTACTTTTACTCCTCTTATTTTTTAAAAAAACTATCTGTGCTTTTGTAAAAGAAAAATTTTAAAAGTAGCAAAATGTCCTAAGTGTTGCCACCTACCTTATGTCAGTAATGACAATGACATGTTCACAGTCTCCCTGATGGCAGTATAAATAAGGAAAACCCAGCTTAATACATAAGTCGTTGAAGGTAAAATCTTCCATTTTGGCAGTCTGAAACTTTCCATAGCCTCTATCATGGGACTCTGACCACTCAATGATAGTTCTGAGGGGAGAAAAGGCAAATATACATCATTTTCAACAAAAACTTAAGAATTACAGAAAGCGGTTTGTGATTGCAGTAATTCACATTAACCTAGCTCACCCAACTAACTGGACAGTTGCCATCTTGAGATGAAGACCAAAATGTCTGACACATGTTGGGATTAGGATGCTGAATTTTTCTTAGACTACTAGAGCAGCAGTTCTCAAAGTATGGTCCTTGAGGTCAAAATTATCTTCACAATAATACTAAGATGTTATCTGCCCTTTCAACTCTTATCCTTTCATGATGGACCAGTTTTCTGCAGGCTACATGATGTGTACCACTTTAGCTTAAATGCAAAATGTATAACAATACATTTCATTTCAGCAAGATGTATAATCAATGCATTTTCAAAACACAATTCATTGTTGTGTTTTGAAAAATATTTTTCACAAAATGTTAGCATGTAATGAGATTTAATATTTCAAATTTTTTAGTTTCAATTTTTAATATTATAAATATTGATAGTTATAACCCACATAAGCAGCTTATTGGGACCCTCAGTGATATACAGTATAAAGAAATGCAAGGCCAGGCGAGGTGGCTCATGCCTGTAAACCCAGCACTGCGGGAGGCCAAGGCCTCCTGAGGTCGGGAGTTCAAGATTAGCCTGACCAACCCGGAGAAACCCTGTGTCTACTAAAAATACAAAATTAGCCAGGCATGGTGGTGCATGTCTGCAATCTCAGCTACTCGGGAGGCTGAGGCAGGAGGCTCTTGAACCTGGGAGGCAGAGGTTGCGGTGAGCTGAGATTATGCTATTGCATTCCAGCTTAGGCTATGAGCGAAACTCTGCCTCAAAAAAAAGAAAAGAAAAGAAATGCTGAAACCAACAGGTTTGAACTGTTAGTGTCAAAATCCCCATCTCCACTAAAAACACAAAAATTAGCCGGGCATGGTGGCACACCCCTGTAATCTCAGCTACTTGGGAGGCTGAGGCATGAGAATGGCTTGACCCAGGAGGTGGAAGTTGCAGTGAGACGAGGTCATGCCCCTGTACTCCAGCTTCATAATGAAAGTATGGTCTCATTAAAATGAGCTTAGATATAGATTTTTCCTATGTGTGTACTTAAGCAACATATATATCACCATCACCTAGGGCAAACAATAGTAAATACTGGATAAGCAGAAAAAATAGTGAAAGGTTAATTTACCACTATTACCTGTATATAAAGGCCAGAGACTAATAATGCCTGTTAATGGGGTTTAATTTTTTTTTTTTTTAAGAGACAGAGTCTTGCTATATTATCCAGGCTGGAGTGCAGTGAGTATTCACAGGCAAGATTATAGCATGCTATATAGCCTTGAACTCTTGGCCTGAAAAGAGTCTCCAGCCTCAGCCTCCTGAGTGGCTGGGACTACTGTGCCTAGCTAATTTTTTTTGCATGTATATAATGCTCAAGACAAGATTTATCAGTAATTCCTCAGTAAAGATCCTTAATAGCCCAATAATAGGATTTGTGGAGATATTGCTACTTTGATAACTAGAAATAAGAAAGACTTTGAGAAGATTTTTGGAAACTATACCTGCTCAAATCTCTGCATTCTGGGTATCTTTTATCATTGTAAAATGTTCCTTCAAAATAAAAAAAGGCTGATTTGTATAGGTCCTGTAAGAAAACAGATGGTATTGAGAGAAAGTCAACTATTAGCAATTATGACATTGCTATAAGTGTTAATTTAAAATTTATATATCATAAAATCACACTAATACGTGTTACAAAAACTGTTACTACTTTCAATTTTACCCTATTGCAGTTTTAGTCACCACGTTTGATTTAAATGTGCATATTCTCCTGAGATTCATGAAAGGAACCCAATTAGAAATCAAATACACATTATTTTACTGTACACATACACAGCCCTAAGTTGTGTTGGATACTAGAACTAAAAACTAAACAAAGTCCTATTTTTAATGTTTCCCCAGTGATAACAATGATCATCAAGTTATGTTTTTCTAGCATTTTTCGTATTTCTTTCTTTATATTTTCAATAGCTCTTAGGCAGACAGAATCTGAATTTCTGTTTTTACTCAAGCAGTCTTGCCCCAGGTACCATAGCTGTAGCACAACTGGTCTGAACCTTCAAAGTTTCTTAACTAATTTTACCAGAGTTTCTATCAAAGGAGTGGCTCTCAATACTGACTGCAAAATCAAATTACAAAAACACCAAACACCAAGTGTCAACTCAGACTCATTAGTTAAGAATCTTTGGGGATCATATTTTTCCAAAGCTCTCTGGAGAAAAATATGCAACCAGAATTGAGAAGCACTGTTAAACTCACCATGTATTTAGAAACGGACCCCTGGATGAGGGTCAGAAGACCTGAGTTCTTTTCCTTAACCTACCACTTACTAGCTTTGTGATTCGGGAATGTAGCAATCACTTCTCAGACCTGTTTCCTCATCTGTAAAATGAGAATAATAATATCTGCCACAATGTCTTACAGGATTGTGGTGAGTATAAAAAGCAATTTATGTATAGGAGATATATGTTTCAGGTACTACAATAATTTTGCCCTAATATTTTAAGTTTTCACCTACTTTTTTGAAGCTTCTATTTTTCTTTTTAGTCTTCAATACCCCACTTACAGAGCATCTTGTGTTCGCATCAGGCACTCTTGCAAGATTGGCTATGTTGTTTCTTCTTGGACCAGTCACTGAATGTCACTGACCCTCTGTTTTCTCACGTAAAACGTGAGTAAAGCCCTTCCCTTCCTCACAGGTTATGGAAAGTAAAACATATAATGTACTTCATGTCACATGCCTAGCTGCTACAATACAAAATCTGCCACTTGATATACTCTTCATCCTCAAAAAGGTAAGTAAGCAGGGTCCAAAATAAAGGTTCGAAAAAAGTAATTATTAGCCAGGTGCGGTGGCTCACGCCTGTAATCCCAGCACTTTGGGAGGCTGAGGAGGGTGGATCACAAGGTCAGGAGTTCAAGACTAGCCGGGCCAATATGGTGAAACCCCGTCTCTGCCAAAAATACAAAAATTAGCCGGACATGGTGGCAGACACCTGTAATCCCAGCTACTCGGGAGGCTGAGGGCAGAAGAATTGCTTGAATCCGGGAGGGGGAGGTTGCAGTGAGCCAAGATAGACCCACTGCACTCCAGCCTGGGTGACAGAGTGAGACCCTGTCTCAAAAAAAAAAAGTAACTATTGACTTATTTTGGAAACAAAACAAACTTTAATATATATAATTGTATTTTTACAAAACATTTCCATAGAGCTTCATCTTAGGTGATTTAAGCAACTTAATATCTTTTGGCATAATTATTAATTACAAGGTGAATTCTAAAAGAACAAAAATGTTTTCCGTTTAAATCATAAGTCATCCACTAATAAGCTTTCCTGGCTGGCACGGCGGCTCAAACCCGTAATCCCAGCATTATGGGAAGCTGGGGCAGGCGGATCGCTTGAGGCCAGAAGTTTGAGACCAGCCTGGCCAACATAGCAAAACCTTGTCTCTACTAAAAACACAAAAATTAACCAGGCCATGGTGGCGCACACCTGTAATCTCAGCTACTTGGGAGGCTGAGGCACAAGAATGGCTTGAATCCAGGAGGCAAAGGTCACAGTGAGCTGTGATCGCACCACTGCACTCCAGCCTGGGCAACAGAGTGAGAGTCTGTCTCAAAATAAACAAACAAACAACTTTCCTTATCTCAGCATATAAATGGAATAATTTGTATAAGAAATTACTTGTTATTAATAGAATATAATCTAAGAGTCTCCTATTACCAGAGTAACTACTGATTGCTAGGATGTTCATTTGAAAAAAGTCATTATCTACAGTTTTAGGCAACTATATTAGTCGTTTATTGTCTTGTAAACTTGAGAAACACTCTTGGGATCTGCTGTGAGGGAAACAGTACTGACAGTTCCGGTGATAAAGGGAAGGAATGAGATAGTATAATAGCTTAATGAAATCCCACAGGAGAAGAAAGGATTTATTAGGACATGTATGAACCTGCTAGAGTAATCACTGTTTTCTTAGCTTGTTATTTCCTTTTGTTTTATGGGAGGAAGTCACCTTACTTTGCTGATGTGCTCAGGGGCTTGGTCAGGAGTGTTGCTGAATTCACCACCAATCTGGAGGTCACTGACACAGCAAATTGAATCCCTCAGTTCTGTGAGCTTTTGACTGCCCAATACCAGCATTGTTTGGTATGGTTTGTGTTCTTTGTGCTAAAAGTCAAAGAATAAATAAGTGTTCACTTAGAGACAAAGCAATAAAACTACAAATCCTGTCATGACTAGATCAAAATTAAATTGCTGGTTTTCTAAAGTTTAAATTGTCCCCATAAGTTGGTGCTCTGTATTTTCACATCCAATAATTACAGGGCCAAACTAATGGTCAACATTGTTTACATCTCCCCTGTGATCCGGAGCCACTCTGAAACCACCTCCTTTATCTAACCCTCACACACCAATCCACTATTTCCCCTGGTATTCCACTAACCTCAATCCACCCAGGACCAAGCATCAGGCTACAACAGACAGTTCCTCTGCCCCCAAACCTACTGGAATTATTCCAACTAGCCAATCCTCAACTGTTTACGAAGACTTCCCTATCTTGTCTTTCCCACAGAAACCCCCCAAAAAACTGTGATCTATGCCCTCCTCTCTCCCCTTTCCACCTCCTGACAGAATGGTGCTGCTTCCTATGGCCCTACATGGTATGCCCCTTCCTTCCTCTAAGGAAATGTAATAAAAATCTTCTTTCAATGGCATCATAGCCTCTCCACGTCATCACTCCGTCACCTCCATAAATTAGAACCCCGTGCAATGGCCAAGCACAGTGCTCACACCTGTAATCCCAGCACTTTGGGAGGCTGGGGCAGAGGGATTGCTTGAGCCTAGAAGTTCGAGATCAACCTGGGCAACAAAGCTAAACCCCATCTCTACAAAAAATCTAAAAGTTAACTGGGCACTGTGATACATGCTTGTAGTCCTAGCTACTGGGGTGGCTGAGGTGGGAGGATTACTTTAGCGAAGCTGCAGTGAGCCGAGACTGCACTGCTGCACTCTGGCCTGGGCAATGGAGCAAGGCCCTGTCTCCAAAAACAAACAAACAAACAAAAAAATCCCATGGGTACAAATGACATACTTAGCCATGGAAATTTTAAACTAAAGTTTATAATCAAGATGATACCAAACTGACATGAGCATTGAGAGCCACTGGAGTATTAACTTCATCTAGCAAGACAATCTTAAAATTTCCTAAGAGTTACTTCGTTGAAGTCAGGCAATCTATACTGTAACCTAAGGTTATAAACCCAAAGATTAATTACTTTGGTTTGGTTTGTTTTTATGATTGGTCATTTGGGATCTTTCTTTTTGGGAGTGGGGTGGCAGTGGGGCACAGAGTCTTGTTTTGTCACCTAGGCTGGAGTGCTATGTAACGATCTTGGCTCACTGCAGCCTTGACCTCCCAGCTCAAGGAATCCTCCCTAGTAGCTGGGACTACAGGAACCCACCACCATGCCTAGCTAATTTTTGTATTTTTTTGTAGAGATGAGGTTTTGCCATGTTGCTCAGGTTGGTCTCAAACTCCTGAGCTCAAGTGATCAGCCCACCTCAGCCTTCCAAGGGTGCTGAGACTATAGGTATGGGCCATTGCACTTGGCCAGTAATTTGAGATCTTAATCAAATAAGGTAATTAGTACTAACTACATCCCAGATGCTTTGTACAAGCCTATTTATTCTTTTTTTTTTTCAGACGGAGTTTCGCTCTTGTTACCCAGGCTGGAGTGCAATGGTGCGATCTCGGCTCACTGCAACCTCCGCCTCCTGGGTTCAGGCATTCTCCTGCCTCAGCCTCCTGAGTAGCTGGGATTACAGGCATGTGCCACCATGCCCAGCTAATTTTTTGTATTTTTAGTAGAGACGGGGTTTCACCATGTTGACCAGGATGGTATCGATCTCTTGACCTTGTGATCCACCTGCCTCGGCCTCCCAAAGTGCTGGGATTACAGGCTTGAGCCACTGCACCCGGCCAAGCCTATTTATTCTTAAGTGCAATTTATATATATTAGTATTTCAATTATAACTTATCAGAGTTTATGACACATCTATTTAGGGAATTAAGAATATACACACTCTGGGCTAGGAAAGAGTTCTTTCTCCTAAGGGATTCGTGGATACCCTTCACTTAATAACTTTCTGTATTTTCATCAAAGAAGAGCTGTCTCTGGTGAGTTCAATAACTTCCCAAGTATTCTAAATTAGTGAATGTAGGTCACTCCACTCCTCTATTAGTCACCTATTCTGCAAAAAAAAAAAAAAAAAAAAAAAAAAAATCCCTCAAGAATTTGTAGAACTAGAATCATTATAGATTTACATATACCTTCAATTGCTTCCAGTGCAGAAATCAAGCATATATATTAATACTATACCTGTAATCCTACTGGATAGAGACATCATTTGAAATTTGACCTTATTTCCAATATTACTTATTAGAAGAGATGACACAAAATTATAGATTGTCAACTCTAAAAATAAGATGTCAGATATGTAGCATATGCTTGCATTTATTAGATAGGGTCTCACTCTGTCTTCTAGGCTAGAGTTCAGTGGTGCAATCAGAGCTTGCTTGCAACCTTAAATTCCTAGGCTCAAGTGATCCTCCCACCTCAGCCTCCCAAGTACTTGGGAGTACAGGTGTGCACCTCCATGCCTAGCTAATTTTTTTGATTTTTAGAGAGACAAGGTCTCACTATGTTACCCAGGTTGGTCTCAAACTCCTGACCTCAAGTGATCTGCCCACCTTGGCCTCCCAAAGTGCTGGGATTACAGGCGTGAGCCACCATGCCCAGAACATTTACTTTTAATGTAAGCATAGGAATATGACTCTTCAAATAAACACTTTTACAAAAGTTACTATTACCCACAAATGCAAAAGGTTTTACTACTTACCTTATGAAATATAACAGGGTACAAGATATTCACAGATAGGATAAGCTCCCCTTCCTCTATCATGTCTGCTGGATTTTCAGGCTTTTTTCCCATGGCATGTGACTCCTGGAAAAAGAAAAAGAGACTCTGAAAGCAGATAGTGTAACTCAGATAAGATGCAGTGTGTTACAGCGGCTATCAGCAAGTCCTGGGTGTGATGCCTAACTATACTTCAGGAAAATTGTTAAAACATCTCTAAGCTTTAGTTTCATCTTCTTTAAATAAACAAACAAAACCAGAAAATACTTAACTTTACAAAACTATTGCTGGGAATGTGTACATAATGCATCTAATAAGATGTGTGGTACTGAGTCAAACAGGAAATATCAACTAATGTTGGTATAACACTGTCATTTCCAGTTACATTTTTATATTCCTTATCAAATACTCTTATAAAAGCTATTTTACAGATAAAGCTCAGAGGTTCAGTGATTTACTCAAGGTCATGACAAAGAGTTAGGGTGCAAATACAGATTTGTTTGGCTTTAAACCCCACGCTTTTTATAACACCATCACATCTTTAATATATTATAAATCTTTTATATGTGCTGAATTAATATAAAATAGGGGCCAGGGTGAACTGGTTTAGATGCATGATGTTTTAAAAGTAAGTGGGAATGATGTCACAAAAGACAGTGGGCAGCTCCAGGGCTCAGTCCCTCTATCAGAGAAGCAACGGAAAGCTGGAATGAGAGACTAGAATAAACTATTTTAGAACTCTGAAACCTGATAGGACACTTAGAACAATCAGGGGAGTGTTTGATGAAGGGAGAAGTTGCTGCTTTTTGTTAAGTAAGCACTCTGTGCAAGTCAACTACCACCCCCACTCCTTTATCCCTCTGCAGAAGAGACAGCAGCCCAAATTCCTGGAGAGGCTGGTGTCAAGGCAGGCAGTGGGGACCTGTTCTCTAAGAAGTGGTGACTATATGTTTTGGTTGGTCTGGCGATGCTGAGTACCTGGCCTAGATATGTGTGTTGGTTTGAACTTTCTTGGTGGCAGCAGCCTCCCCTAGCAGCATCTGTATTGGAAGACTTACAGACAAGATGCTTTTTTTCTTTTTGGAGCCAGATATTTAAGGAAATCCTTGTCAGATTGCTGACTGACCACAGAGATAATGAAACAGAAACACATCAGTGACCACATCCAACAAGTAATACAAATGCTGTAATAGTATTGTTTGGAAAAGTCATAGGCAGCTCCAGCTGTGCAAAAGAAATAATATACCCAGAATGTCTACTTCTCAACAAAAATATATAAAACACACAAAAGTATGGCCAATTCACAGGAAAATAAGAATTTAACAAAACCAACCCTGAGGAAGCCCAGACATTGGAATTACTAGTCAAAGATGTCAATTAATTATTGCTACAGGCAATAGCTAGGTTCACATATAAATAAAAGTCCATTCAACAAAGAAAGATGTTAAATCAACTGACTTAACTGTGCTCAATGAGTACCCCAGAAATTTGTACAGTCATTAAGTATCAACTTTAAAAATGTGTTCAATCAGCTAAACGAAACCACAAACACCTAAAGAAAATCAGATTTCTCAGTAAGAATAATAGCAGTTTTCTCATCAGAAAACATGGAGGTAAAAAACCAAAGAATGGGCAGATGGACACTGACTGATTTTTTTAATCAATCAATCAATCTATCGATCAATCGATCAATTGGCAGGGTCTCCCTATGTAGCCTCAGTTGGCTTCAAACTCTTGGGCTCAAGTATTCCTTCTGCCTCAGCCTTCTGAGTAACTGAGACTATGGAAACCCACCACCGTGTTCAGCTTTTAAATTTTTTTACTTTTGTTTTTCCTTTCTGGATGACATATTTAAATCCATGAAAGAAAAAAAACAAAAACAAAACTGTCAACCAAGAATTCCATATTTGGCAAAATCCTTCAGGAATGAAAGAGAAATTAAGATATTTTCAGATAAACAAAAGCTAGGGGAATTCATTACTACCAGTAGACCTGATCTGTAAGAAATGCTAATGAGGATTTTTCAGGCTGAAAGGAAAAGACAGTAGACAGTAATTTGAAGCCATAAGAAGAAGTAAACAATACTGCTAAAGATAACTACATAGGTAAATATAGAAGCCAGTATTATTGTACTTTTGGTTTGTAACTCACTCCTCTAGGATTTTTCTGTTTTTCCTATATGACTGCAAACTAAATAGATTAAACAATACTTATAAAGTTATGTTAATGGAAACACAATATATAAAGCCATAATCTGTGACAACCCAAAGAGGGACAGACAAAGATGTGGAAGCAGTGTCTGAATACTATAGAAACAAAACTGACATAAACGCTCAATAATGATGGGATTATGCCTCAATAAACCCCACAAATTAATAACATCACAAGTGGAAAATGCATTTAAGACCCCAATAAACCCATCATAAAGTCGAAACATCCTAAGTCAAACCACAGTAGATTGAGGACTGTCTGTATATTTAAAAGTAAGTTGTTGCCAGGCATGGTGGCTCACGCCTATAATCCCAGCACTTTGGGAGTCTAAGTCAGGTGGATCACAAGGTCAGGAGTTTGAGACCAGCCTGGCCAATATGGTGAAACCCTGTCTCTACTAAACTTACAAAAATTAGCTAGGCATGGTGGCGGGCACCTGTAGTCTCAGCTACTTGGGAGGCTGAGGCAGGAGAATCCCTTAAACCCAAGAGGTGAAGGTTGCAGTGAGCCGAGATCACGCTACTGCATTCCAGCCTGAGCAATAAAGAGAGACCCCATCCAAAAAAAAAAAAGGTAAGTTGTTTTAATTTTAAGATTTAATTGTAATCCTGGCTGAGCGCAGTGGCTCACACCTGTAATCCCAGTAGTTTGAGAGACCAAGGCAGGCGATCACTTGAGGTTAAGAGTTCCAGGCGAGCCTGGCCAACATGGTGAAACCTTGCCTCTACAAAAATACAAAAGTCAGCTAGGTGTGGGCGCCTGTAGTCCCAGCTACTTGGGAGGCTGAGGCACAAAATCACTTGAACCTGGAAGGCAGAGGGTCCAGTGAGTTGTTATCGGGACACTGCACTCAAGCCTTGGCAACAGAGTGAGACTCTGTCTCAAAAAGTTGCCAAGGCTAAAAGAAATTAAAAACCTTAAGTTACAAAAAAACAAAATGTTCTGGCATTTGTTTGTAGTCCCAGCTATCACAAAGCTGATGCTGGAGAATCACTTGAGCCTAAGAGTTTGAGGCCAGCCTGGGGAACATAGCAAGACCCCATCTCTAAAAAAAAAAAAATCTTTGAAGGTTTTAATAGACAAAAGATGCCATCCAGCAAGAAGATATATACAATTATAAACTTATATACAGCCAACAGAACTCTAAAATCTAAGAAGCATAGGAGACCAAGGTGGGCATATCTCTTGAGTCCAAGAGTTCCAGACCAGCCTGGGCAATATGGCAAAACCCCATCTCTACAAAAAATACAAAAAATTAGCTCAGCATGGTAGAGCACGCTTATAGTACTATCTACTCAGTAGGCAGAGATAGGAGAATAACTTGAGCCCAGGAGGTTAAGGCAGCAATGCGCAGTAATAGCACCACTGCACTCCAGCCTGGGCAAGAGGGCAAGACCCTGTCTCAAAAAAATAAATAAAATAAATGAAGCAAAAGCCAACAGAATTGAAGAAACAGTTCTACAGTAATAGTTGGAGACTTTAATACCCACTCTTCATAACGGGTAGAACAACTAGACAGAAGACCAATAAACAGGAGGTGGCCGGACACGGTGGCTCACACCTGTAATCCCAGCACTTTGGGAGGCCGAGGTGGGCGGATCACCTGAGGTCAGGAGATCGAGACCATCCCGGCTAACACAATGAAATCCCATCTCTACTAAAAATACAAAAAATGAGCCTGGCACGGTGGCATGCACCTATAGTCCCAGCTACTAGGGAGGCTGAGGCAGGAGAATTGCTTAAATCTGGAGGCAGAGGTTGCAGTGAGCCGAGATTGTGCTACTGCACTCTAGCCTGGGTGACAAAGCCAGACTCCATCTCAAAAAATAGATGGATAGTTAGATAGATAGACAGACAGATAAAAAAGAAAAAGGAGGCTTGAACAACTAGAACAATTAGACATAACAGTTAGACCTAACAAAGAACTCTCCATTCAACAACAGCTGAATACAGGTTCTTCTCAAGTGCATATGAATCATTCTCCAGGATAAACCAACAAATCTAAAATTAAAGTAATGATGTTAGAAATCAATAACAGGAGGAAAATTGGAAAATTCACAAATATATGGAAATTTAACACACACGCTTGACAAAATCACAGCACGTGAAACTTAGGAAGATGCAGTAAAAACAGTGATTTTAAAAAGTTATGGCTATATAACTTTATATAAAAAGAACAATCTCAATAACTATATAAGGAATTAAAAAAGAATAAACTAAACCCAAAGCTAGCAAAAAATGGAAATTATAAAGATGAGTGGAGATATAAATGAAACAGAATAGAAAAATACAGAAAAATCAATAAAAACAAAAGCTGGTTCCTTGAAAACATCAACTTTGACAAACTTTTACTGCACTGATTGAGAAAAAAGAAGACTCAAATTACTAAAATGAGAAATAAAAGTGGAGGCATTACTATTGATTTTACGGGAAAAAAAAGAGTTTAGAAAACTATGAACTGCTGTTTGCCAAGAAATTGAATAACCTAGATGAAAGGGACAAATTCCTGGAAACATACAAACTCAAAACTGATTCAACAAGAAACAAAAATCTAAATAGACATATAACAAGGAAAGAGGTTGAATCAGCAATGAAAAACCGTCCAACAAAGAAAAGCCCAGACCAAGATGACTTCACTGGTAAATTCTACCAAACATTAAAAGAATAATTAATACCAGAGTTTCTCAAACTCTTTCAGAAAATCTGAAAAGGAGTAAACACTTTCTAACTCATTCTATGAAACCAGCATTATCTTGACACCACAGTGAGACAAAGACACTACAGGAAAACTACAGGCCAATATCCCTTTATAAATAGGTATGCAATAATCTCAACAAAATACTAGCAAAGTAGATTCAGCAGTATATTAAAAGGAT